TCGCACCTTTCGTACGGAATCAGCTGTTTGTCCTCGTACGTATGTATGTCCATATGTAACACATGCAGTGTTGCCGCATTGATATTTTTTTACCGAAATTGGTAATTTTTTATTTATTTATCATACTTGGTANATATTTAATTCAATTTGTATACAAAAATGCATTTCAGCACTGCCAGACTACTTACTTTTCTCACTACCTTTCCACAAAAGGAGATAAAATTGTTACCCGCTTCTCTTTCCTTCTCAAATGCAACCTTACAAGGCAGTCGATTGACACAAATGTCAATATTTAACCAACCTTGTATTATTGAATCATGCTCGTACGTATGTATGTACATATGTAACACATGCAGTGTTGCCGCATTGCTATTTTTTTTACCGAAAGTGGTAATTTTTTATTTATTTATCATATTTGGTAACTTATTTTTCAACTTGGTAACTTTTTCGATTCAGTCCTACATGCAACATAGGTCAAAAGAAGTTCTGGTTCCACATTGGGAAGTGGGCCGTAAGCGTTTCTTTTACAGAAACACCAGGTTATCCTGAAAGTTTCGCAAGGCGAACAGTTCTTCGGCGTTTCTAGGTTACTATAATTGTGTGATCTCCAACAAACTGCTTGATAGTGGCTATTGTTATATCTAAATAAATGTGGCAACACTGAACTCATGTAAGTAAAATATAGCCACCTAAAAGGGGAAAATTTTCCAATAATGGACCAGGCTTAAAAAAAAAAATGAGGGGGTTTAGAGCGGCTTTTTGTGATTCTAAATCTGAAAACCCCCCCCTCCGGAGGCTTATAGTTTTTAAGTAATTCGTTGTTAAAGTTGTAAAAAAAAGTGCAATATAACCTCACAATCGAGTGAACTGAAATTGCGGTGCTGCCACACATCACAAAAAATGTGTAAAAAAAAGTACTGAAAAGGGAATCAACGAAAACGTAAATAATAAAGTGGACATGTACATATATGATATAGCTTTTTTATTGGATATTTTCACTATATATGGAAGAATTGATAAAAAAAAGGGCCGCAGGTGAAAATTTTCAAGATATATGGAAGTATTGGATTTTTTAGAAAAAAGCGCCGCAGGCGAAAATTTGTAATCAAAAATCGCGCGATTTTTTATTAAAATTTTTCAAGATATATGGAAGTATTGGAGTTTTTAGAAAAAAATCGCCGCAGGCGAAAATTTGTAATAAAAAATCGCGCGATTTTTTATTAAAATTTTTCAAGATATATGGAAGTATTGGAGTTTTTAGAAAAAAATCGCCGCAGGCGAAAATTTGTAATAAAAAATCGCGCGATTTTTTATTAAAAATTTTCAAGATATATATTTTTACAATAATATTAATATATATATCACCGATTTAAAAGAAACTCTTAAATATATGTGCATAAATAAGACCGTAAAATTAATATTTTCCTTTTAGCCTTCAATCCCGTAATGCATCACAAAGTATTTTTGGCTAAAAAGAACTATTAACATTTTCAACGATATGGCACCTCATTCATGGCGGCCATCGATGAACAATTGTGTGTTTACTATTCTTTGAGAATAGAAAAATATTTTAAGAACACTTTTATAAGCATTAATGGCTAAATATTTAGTGAAAAAGGTGTGCATCCATTTGTTTATGAAGAAAAGATGGTGTATTAATAAAAAGAAAAGTGATTAGTGCAGTGTTTATAAAAAAATAATTGTGAAGCAGTCGGGAAATTTTAACAACGAATAACTTAAAAACTATTAGCATTTGTACACAAAATGTTGATGATATCGGTCAATGAGCACCTCCTCAACACCCCCGCGAATTTCATTAAAAAATTCGTAATACTTTGGGTGATATAGGAAATGGTCCATTATAGGAAATCTCAGCCCCTAAAAGTCTACACTACGTTGCTTATGCATTTGACAGACTTTTCGTTCATTTTCTGACAGTCAGTTACGGCTGCTTATTCATATGATAGTTAGCCCCTAACTGCCGTCCCTAAATTGGAGCGCTAAGCGTTACGTTATCCACTGTCAACGAGTGTCAGCGCGCGCTATCCCCAAATCAACGCGTCGTAATTTTTGACGTTTTCTCAGGTCCTCTCGTTTTTATTCTCGTTTCCTCTTTCACTTGTTTGTCCTTTCTCTTTCTTTCCGTCTTCTGCATCCAACTTCAACACGTAACGCCCTGTCAAAAATGAAAATTCCATTTGCTCGGCGTAAGCGCCGCGTTATTGTGGGATGCTTCATACAAATTGTATGGGCATGAGGATTTTTGACAGTTGCTTGGCGCTTGACGCGCCAATTTAGGGATGGCAGTAAGGCTGCTGCAGAAAACACGTGCTGTTTCTCGCATGCGTCGTCACGCAAGCGAGATTTTCCAACACGTGAAGACGGCCGGTAAAGGTAGAAAATCGTCGATGAGCTAAAAAAGACGTCAAAATGACGACGAAATCGTCAATTCGGCAACGCTAAGGAGGGTTGACACATTTTTGACACTTATTTATAACTTATTTTTACGCTCTACTTACCGAAATAGCCCGGATAGCGTGTGGAACAAACTTATTAAAATAATAATTTTGTTTTCTAGTAAAATCGCTATGAAATTCGATCAGCAAAAAACTAAACACCAGCTATTCCATTTGTCTATAAGCTTGGCAACGGTGCTCGTCTGTATGACTTATATGCAGTTTCATCGCAATTGGGCAAATGTCGGCAACCTTTGGAATTCTCTGATTGTACCTATCGTATTTACCGGGGAGCTTCTCAAGGTGGTACTTGCACGATATTACAGTCGTGCGGATGATAATGCGCTTACACAACAACAGCGACAAAAAAGGGCTTCCTACTTAACAATACGTGAAATTTGTGGGGGATTGCTTTTACAATTTATATGCACGTTATTGTATGCATTTGTATGTATTATATTAGGAGCACCTGTACTGCAAAACTATGAACAAACCTTTGTACTAGCGCTTTTGCTCACCTTACAAACAGCATCTCCAACTGTATTTCTACTAGGAGCAGGAGGTGCATTACAGGTGTGTTTCTGTGAAAAGCCCGATACTGTAACAAAAAGTGAGGAGACTGCTCTCGGGTTGTTCAAATACAATGCCTTAGGAGGAATCTTGGGTGCTTGGGCTGGCTCTGTAGTTGCGCCTTTAGACTGGGACCGCGATTGGCAAGCGTATCCAATACCAAATGTAGTAGGCGCACTGCTGGGATGCGCTTTAGGTAATATTTATATTTGCTCACGAATTTTATATGCCACGGCTAAGGTCTATATGAACAGAAAGCGGCACTAAGACATCCGATTTTTCGAATGAAACAACGCAAAAGCTGCCAATATCCAAATATGTATATTCAAAGGCCCTGAAATTAATTGTATAGTATATCTAGTCAAAGTCTTCGCAACTGAAGGAACCACAGTATCATAAATACATTAAATGAACATGTATTTAATTTAAATTATTAAAAAAAAATCATGTAAATTAAAGTTAAATAAAAAATTAACATTTCTAAGGAAAATTTCTAGTTTAAATTAGTTTCCCTATTGAAGCATAATGTATGTATGGTTGTACATACACGAGAAAGTTGTTACTGGCTGCGTACTGTTTATTACCAATTTTATAACTTAAGAAAAGAGAAGCACGGACGTGGAGAAACGTGCATGTCAAAACAAAACTAGAGCTGAAACTCATTTAAGTCTTTATGAATATTTATCATTTGGCAAGAAATAAAAAATAAACTAATTTTACAAACTATTCCAGTACTAGTATTTTTTCTAACAAAGCGCAAAGTTGTGAAGGGAAAGGAAACAGTATAATTGAATTAATATGGAATTCCGCCACCGACCTTTACATTACCCTGGGACTTGTAGTTTAAAAGAACAAGTACGTATTTTACTTAAATATTTACAATTGCATATTTTTAAACATTCGTTATTCCTTTTTGTATTCGGTTTTAGGTAGATGGTGTAGAGCACAAGATATTATATTTGGGAAATAGAATTCGTGGGCTAGAAGATGCACTCGATGGTCCTGACATAGATCCTACGTTACGTGATGTAATCGAAGAAGAGATTTTGGCACTGAAAGCAGAAATTATTAAACACAAGGAAAACGTTAAAGCAATGCATAAAGATAAATCGCACCAAATGGCTGTAATTACGATCTTAATATTCATTATTTTATGCGTATTTACTATGTACAGGATATTTTACGCATGGTATTAGACTTTCGTTATTAAAAATTCCAATTCCAATCTTCTCTAAACGAAATATGTGACCTGGTCTACGGAAAGGGGGCTTAGGTGTCAAAAAATCAATTTTCACTTTTTGGTTGATTCGGATGGAAGATGAGATGCTTTTTCACGTGGGGAAAAGCAGAAAATCCTAATTTGCTTAGAAGTGTACTAAAAATGTAGAGAAAGAAGAGTAAAAACGAGTAAACGAAACGAGTTGCTTACTTTTAACAGCTTTTTCACAGAAAACTAGTTTTCGCACTTAAGCTCCCTTTTCGTAGACCAGGTCACTATGTTATACTGTGCGATTAACAAAGATCCAGTTTCCTTATTTCATTTTTCTATTTTATTTTAATCCAGCATAGTATTATAAAAACTTATCGTCTACCAGAAGCTCTTCCACGCCCACGTCCGCGTGGACCACCGCGACCACGCGTACCGCGTCCTCTGCCACGATTACCTGCGCGACTACTATCTTTCTTCTTCGTTTTAGATTTCGGTGTATCGTCGATGAGCAGTGTTTCGAGGGGTAAACTATCAGGAAGTATAAAATACCGTATATTGTTACCGCGAATACTGAGAGATTCCAATTGTACTGGGTCCCTATTTTTGATTGTCATTTTGACAGACTTCAAATGTGTATTCATTGCAACATCAACTCCTGTGATTGTGCCGTGGATTTGGGTACCATTCTTCAATTCGATGGTCACCGTTTCGTGACTTAGTTTCATGAGAAATCTGAAAAGAGATTAGGGATATTATTCGAATTTGTTGGGTAAAAAACAAACCGCGAAAATTAATTTTTATTAATATTTGTTATTGCCAAGAATCATTCAAGCTATTTACGATATATGTAAATTTCTATTTATTTTTTCTATGAGTTAAACGTTTGGAGCATGCTTAAATGTCGTTGTGCGACAACTTCCGAAAACGTTCCCGCCGCTTGCTAAATTCACAACACGCTTTGGTGCGTTACAGGCAGTATATGCAATTCTGGTTTCATATTGAACTTGCAGATAATATTTTAACTTCTGTTTATGTACAAAAAAAATCAGAAACACTAATATATTCGTAATTATATTTACCTAACCAACTTCATTTTTGTGAACGCTTTACTCAAACCGGCAACACCAAATAATTTTTTCTTTTATATTTTTATTGCAAAGCCTTGTGTTGAATTTGAAAAACACAACAGGGTGATGCAAGCTATGAAACGATGAGGCTATTCAATTAAAGAGGTCGAAATTTTTAGGAAAGTTTTTTGCATTTTTTCAATATTGCATGCATTTTTATAAAAAAAATAACTAAAACCAACCAACAAAAAAAAAATACAGTTGTTGCGACTAAATTTGTTTGACCACTGTATGCATATTAATATTATATTAACATTTTTCATTCTTTATTTGTTAACTAACTTTATAAAATTTTGGTTTGGTTGATGAATACTTAGAAGAAATACATTTAAAAATAAAATAAACAGAAAGACCGGCAGTATATCAAAATACATTAAATTTTTGTGGTTGGAAATGAGTGGATTACCCTGGTCGTAACAAGAGTTTGGAACCCTGTGAATCCCGTGCTCGGTATTTTTTAAGGTATTTAAGCATGAAGTACTTGTTTTTAAGATTTTGGAAATTTTTGCCCCAAAACGTAACGCACAATTTGACCACTATAAACTAACCGGCAACACTAAATAATTTTTTTCTTTTATTTTTTTATTGCAAAGCCTTGTGTTGAATTTGAAAAACATAACAGGGTGATGCAAGCTATGAAACTATGGGGTTATTCAATTAAAAAGCTCGAAATTTTTAGGAAGGTTTGTTGTAATTTTTCAAATATTGCACAAAGCATGCATTTTTATAAAAAATAACTAAAATTAATTAACAAAAAAAAAAACTAAAAACTAAAACTAAAATTTGTTCGACCACTGTATGCATGTTAATATTATATGGTAGTAGTGCACTTTAGCGGAACCAGGTCAAAATGGACGGAAAATTCGAGTGTGGTATCAATCGACGCGTCTTAACGCCAATAATAATAAGCCGAGACCGGAAATTAACATTTTTAATTCATTAAAGAGTTATTTGCAAAAAACATTTGCACTTTGCACTTTTCGCACAATGTTTTGATGAATTTGATGCAAATAAATGGAGTAAATGAAAGATGTTATCTGCAAAAGGTGTTTCGCCTCTTTTTTTTAGCAATACAGGAAGGAGAATTCTACGTAGTGAGGGTTACAATGCCTAAGCGCGGCCAAAGGCCGCTTACGCAGGATGTTGTTCTCTGCAAAAAGTGTTCAGCCCCTCTTCTTTGGCAACACAGAAAAGAGAATTCTACGTAGTGGGGGTTGTAATCCCTAATCGCGGCCGGATACCGCCTACGCAAAAAGGAGTTAGTAGCCTGGTTCCGCTAAAGTGCACTTTTACCTATTATATTAACATTTTTCATTCTTTATTTGTTAACTAACTTTATAAAAGTTTGGTTTGGTTGATGAATACATAGGTGAAATACATTTAAAAATAAAATAAACAGAAAGACCGGCAGTATATCAAAATACATTAAATTTTTGTGTTGTTTTGTATATAAAGAGATATCTACTGGTGGGGAATTTTACGAAATTTCGGGAAAAATCGGTTAATTTCGTTATCGAACTCGGGGAATTCTCAGAAATGAGTGGGCTACCCTGGTCGTAACACGAGTTTGGAACTCGGTGAATTCCGTGCTCGGTATTTAAGTATGAAGTACTTGTTTTTTAAATTTTGCAAATTATTGCCCCAAAACGTAACGAACAATTTGACCGCTACAAACTAAAAAAAAGGGCCTGTGCCAATCATTAGCAAAATTCTTTGGTAAAAAATCTTTTTGCGTTAGTGCACAGCGAGTAGCTCCCGGAGACTCCCGTGTGCATCACTAAGATAGATATATAAGTAGGGTAAGCACTGTGACCAGTTGGTCTATTATGCCCTTGGCTTATAAAAACACTGAATCCAGCCTCAGATACTCTATGAATTTTAGAATCGATCCCGGGGACAGAGAGTGTATGTGCTCTTCACTTTGTCTCTTTGTCGGAGTCGCAGAAACGACATAAGTTGCTTGACCACAACAAGTGGCCTCTAAGCCTGCAATGACACGTAAAAATGCCTGTTATAACTCTTAGCCTCTCCTTGGGGAGGTTTATATGTAGCCTGTATATTTTTACATAATAATAATAATAGATTGGCGCTTACACATATGTTAGTGTTTGGCCGAGCCTCTCCCCCGATTTGCGGCGTGCGCCTTGATGTTGTCACACAACATCATACCCTCTTGACTTGACGAAGTCCCATGATGCTTCGCCAATGCAGTTCCCTTAGTTTATTGTTTTCCTCCCTGCGCGCCTCCTTTATCCATGAACGAAAGACACAAGAACACGAGGGAAGGGAATAAAGAAAAAAGTTATTTTCTAGCTGCCGAAATCTCGACGCCATCTTTGTTGTAAAGCCCTGTATGCAGCTCTCAAGAAAACGTTCAAGAAAAAATTGACATTTGGGGTGTTCGTCTACATTTTGAGACATCTTTAGCATCAAACTGTGAGCACCCCTTTCTAGCAGTCGTCGCAAAATCGTCTCAAAACTTTGCTGGTGTTGCCAGACATTTCCTCTTTGCGTGCATTTTTTATATATCGTCTTTCGATTTTGTTTCTGAAAAATTGTAATTATTTAACTTAATTACCAATTCCTAATATTTGTTATTTCTTTTCCTTGATTTGTTTCTTTTCATCAGAAATTGCATTCAAATTAAATGCAAATACAAAAAACGTGCCCAATAAATAAAAAAAATGTGATTAGTATTGCCATAATGCAACCCTGCTGCGAGGTTGCAAAATGTAGACGCGTAAAAAACATACCTTTGAGTGTGACAAAATGTAGACGGCGTCGTTTTCCAATTTTGTATGGGAAACAACAACACCACAGATTTTACGGTTAGAAAACGTCTTAAAATGTAGACGTCTACATTTTCAGACACTATTTGGAACGAACTGTGAACACCCCAATTATTTCGTGTGTGTGCCCAAGGAATTTTGACATTTTTGATACTTCACAGCCTGTTGCCTCACTCTTTCATCAAGAAATAATGGAACGGGCATATATTTCTGTTGCAAACCTGGGTTGCCTTGTGCTCTTTTTTCTCAAAAAACTTTAGAAAACCGTAGTAGAAAGCGTATTAAATTTCTTAAGAACTGTGTACTGCCTTAAGGCCTGTATGCAGCTCTCAAGAAAAGCAAAAACTCCATATAAAATGATGCACAAGAAATGGCTAAGAAATTTTCTTGAGTCAAATTTCCTTAAGGCAGTACACAGTTATTAAGAAATTTAATACGCTTTCTACTACGGTTTTCTAAAGTTTTTTGAGAAAAAAGAGCACAAGGCAACCCAGGTTTGCAACAGAAATATATGCCCGTTCCATTATTTATTTTGTTTTGATACACTTCAGCGTGTTGTCGTTTCTTATAGATTTGCGTCCTTTGCCAAAATATAATTCCCAGATTGAATATTCATGTTTTATAAAAAGCGAATTGTGAATCACCCCAAAGACTTCTACTTTCCTTGATACTTGAAAAGTCTTAAATTTCTTGACTATCTGGCATTCTTTTTGTCAATAAATTACTTAATTCACTCGTTACATTGTATTCGGTTACTTATAGCCGCAGTCAGATAATTTGTTCGTTCCATAAATTTTGGTCGAAACTTCTTTGGAACGTCTTGAATTTTTTCGGAGCAAAAAAGTTGTTCTACATAAAACTACTAAAAAATATAAATATTGTTTTCACCGGTTTATAGACGTTCAGATTTCATTCGACTCTTGCTGCAGGTAAAATTTAACAATACTTTCAATTAATTGGTGTCATGTCTGTTTTCATCATATCGCAATAGCAACTAGCTTGTTTGAGAATAGAGAAAATGAATTAACAAGATTTAATGAGTCATTAGTGAAGTAATGCACATATTATGAACAAATTGTTTTTGAGTAAAAGTCGACAATTGGGCGTATATATGATATACATACATGCGTATACTGTAAATACGTATTTTCATATTCACATATTACAGATCTATTCATATAATCATGTACTTAATATATGTAAATTAATATGTGCATATTGCAAAACTAATATCACGTTAGTTATGGATTTAATCACTGTGAAAGTGTGCCCAATCAATGTCTACCGAAGTCTAGCTTCCACCGATGTATTCTGAAAATATTAAAAATATCAAATACATATGTACATAAAAGTTAACTTTACGCTTACGTGTTTAACCTACCTAGTTCCTTTACTACAAGTACTAGTTTAAGGTAATAAAAATACATTGCACAGTATTAAAGCTGTCATTATTTTGGAAGTAAATTTGTTGCATGATAAATTTTCGAGCCTAAAATAGATGTATGTACTTAAGGGAACTATTGTTGTTGGATAGAACTGATCATCTTTAATTAGCTGTGAATTGATCGAACACATCTATGAAAGTACATACCAAGGCGTATTTGACACCTTGGTACATACGGTAAATGTGGAAACATATGTATTGTCGCAGTTGCAATTGCAATGGTCATGTCAACCCACTTGCATTTCTCGCCTTTCTATTGCTCGTAAATATTGTTTGGAGAATGCTGCTGACGAACACAATCCGGTAATGTGGACCCGACGGTCGTTGGGTCGATTGCTTTGGAGTATCGAAAGATTCTATATATCGACATTTGATGGTATAATTCAAAATTATTGACAGAAGGTTCATTCATTTCATCGCTTATTCGCAAATAATTACATAGACATCTCCACAGAAATTGATTTACTTATGAAATTTACTTTCGATTGCTAAGAAATGTCAACAAAATTAAATAGGTACCTTGGATTGGTAGGAGAAATGTGATCGATGTTTGGCTGTGCGTTCGTTCGTATAAAAATACCATACAACACATATTTAAATGAAGAACAAGGTGGACTTATAGTTCGTCTCTTAGAATAGCAATGAATAGCTCGCTTATACTACGAATTTATAATAATAAATGTGTTGGGCAGGTACCTCAGTCAAGGATCGAAAATTTTATTTTGAACTTTGTGAAGATGCTATTAATCAAAATGGACTCAGAAAATACTAGGCAGTTAACATTATTTTT